TATGTATATCAGCATTTTAGTTGAAAGTACGTTTTGCTCGTCGCTCTCTTCATCGCTCCTCTACATTCCTGTCCTTAGTTTTATTCAGATACCACAAATGCGCGATCCAGAAAATTTTTCTATCATTCTTGCCACATATGTATGTTTTCTTCGAAAATACTCAAGTACTACCAGTAAAGTACTCTACTGTCAAATACCTTTTACTCGCAGTAGTTGCGGAAGGCAATGTAAATACTCTACGCGTCTTGCTATTGATCGGTAGTTTACGTACGCTTGCAGAAACTGGTTTATGCTTACTCACACTTGACCCGAACGATGAGAGTAAAGGAGGGAAAGTATTTGCGCGGCGATCGGATGTCTTGTTAGGCCCTTTAAATGGAATTGCGCAGGAGTTTAATAGATAAGTTAACAGCCCTAACACTTTAACAGTATGTATGTATGAAAACGTAAGGTACATACAATACATATATGTATATATATCAGTCTTTCTTAGTTTAAAAATTCATCTCTTACATAAATGAAAAAAATAAATCAAATTAAGTATATACAACATTTTCATGCCAAGTATGAATAAATTCTCCAAAGGGCTAAAAAAGGGCTAGGGGCAATTTTAAATTTACGTGGCCTAAAAAAGTTTGTGGTAGTTAAATATTCACCAAAGGGCTAAAACGGCAACACTGAGTGGTGCACACTTGAGCCAAATGGAGCCACTCGGCTTTCACGTACAAGTCGTGTGTACGAAGCTATCGTACCATGATTCAATAATACAAGGTTAGATAATTATTACATTAAAAAAGTTAAGGTAATAAAATTATATGCAACTAAAAATAATCACAATAATTTGCACTTATGAGTTAATGTGATAATCATGTATAAAAACTCTTTTCAACTGTTATTTTTCACAAAATAATTTTGCGGATCAGATTGCTCTGGGCGCTTGTGTGGTTACCAAGAAAATGCAGCCCTGTTGGTTTTTATTTCTGTATCGCATCGCGGTGAGTTTCTATTTCTTGGTAATTCGGTTTGTGAAATGGTAAACAAATTATTGAAACTTATTTGTTTGATGTGTATAACATTTCATTAATGCAATTTTCTGTCTTTTCAGACTATTAATTACAAGCACAGCATCATCATGGTGACTGCAAGAACTACTGCAATCCCTGCGGTTTTTCCTCTTGGTAAATGCGTTCAGGTCGTGATCAAGGGTGGTCTCCCAAATCGGCCGGGAATAAGGTTAGTCATTTTAAATTTTATAACTTTGTTCGTCGACATTATATGACATGTCATCATTGCAGGCTATTGTTGCAGAACAAAACGGCGCAACCACTGCTGTGGTAAATATGTTCCAGCAGAGCTGCCCACCTCCGTCGGTGTAATGATTTCGATAGCTGAACAAACGCCATCTTCTGGGCATTCCCACAGCTTGCCGACACTAGCTATTACATCACGTGTGAATGCAACTGCAACTGGCACATAGAGGTTGTAAAGTTTTTGGTATCGATGAACTTACTCGAAGAAGACGATGGCCGAAAGCATATTATGAAACATCTTCTGGCATGCCTTTGACAATCGTTAAGTCAGACGGAGGCTTCACATACGATCTTTCACACATGGCTGGAATTCGTTAGCGGACAGAGCACACATTTACAAAATATTTATCGTTCTGCAGAACGTGCATGCATATTCGATTCCGATTTTATGGGTCGATTACGGAGGACAACCGAACTTCAGTTGGTTGGCCAGTGGCTGAAATGGTATTACCGATGGCAACTAGCAACTGAAAGCTGGCTAAGTTGCTATGTTGGCAACTGTATTTTTGTGGCTGCCGGGAAATTTTGATGGAGATACTTTATTTCTTCTTTCAACTTTTTTTTTAAATTGTACCACCTTGAACTTTATGAAACTTAATTATTGCTATTCATAATTAAAAACATTTTAAATTTCAGTGGCGCTGTCCATCGGCAACCCAACTGAGGTTCCGTTCCCATACATAATCGATCCATAAGTCATAATCGCACGAACTAATCAAGGCTATCATAGAATTCAACGTAGTCGGATTTTTCGTGAAATCTACGAAAATGCTATTAAGTTCGAGTAGCTACGAACGCAGCGCTTGCTTTGGATACACACGTTCATAGCAGTTCAGATTCAGTGATCGCTTTTTCGTAGATTTTAAGAAAAATCGGACTACGATGGATTCCGCCACCAATATGTTTTCTCCTTTGACAAGATGTTGGAGAATCGCGTATACCTACTCTATGCTCTTAAAGTGCTTGACAAAGGCATATCTTCAACATTATAACTTAAAGTAAAAAAGTTTAAGGCATGCAATAAAAGAATACAACAGAACCAAAAAACGTTCTCAAAACTATTACACATAAAAAATTGCACGAATAAAATTCATAATTTAAAATAAAATATCGCAATTGTTTTTTATATGTACATACATATTTACAAAATGAATCTTAAAGCACCCACAGTAAGTCCTAAACATATAAATGACTAATAAGAAAAATAATAAATAACAGTAATATGAAAAAGTATGTCGAGAAATCTCTAAATAGTAGCGAAACTATCTCAATAATAACAAGTAATTTTAAGCAAAAAATACAATCGACTTCAATGCGCATTCAGGTCGATCTGGTTACGTAGATCCGACTGTCCTCCCTTGTTTTAAAATCGTTAAAAAAATGAATACTTATTCTACAGAAAAAAATCAAGATACATATTTAAGGATTTTAAGTAAAAAAAAATAAACGAAAACTTGTTCGTGATATCTCGACCAAGGTGTATTCATGATACAAAAATCTGAAGGTAAAACCGCTGAGAGGCAGCCTGAAGATTTTTAAAGTTTGCTAACATTACAAAAATGTTTTCAAATTTCCAATCTCACAAATACATTCTCATTTTCAGTCTCAAATAAACGAAAATTTCAATACCCTGCAGACCATTTTATCAGAGTATTCTGAATAGTAAAGAAATTTTAAAGAATTCGGAAAGATCCCATCCGAATTTTCTAAAATGAAATAAATTACGCACACTTCCATTCTTTTCCGAAATTTCGGAAGAAAATCGGTAAAGAAATGAAAATAATGCTGCTATGTGAAGAATTTCTTGCAGACTTTTTTCAGAATTTTCTTTATTTTTCGTACAGAAATTTCTTTACGAGTTCGTGTCAACCACTTCATATAATTTTCTTTGAAGATTCGGGAAAAAATCGCTACCGAAATCAGATACTCCTAAAGATTTCGTTAAGATTTCGGGAACTTTGGTTTGCAGGGTATTTTCATCTATTTGTTTTTTGTTTTACTTTTATTTGGCATTTGAGTTGCTCTCAAAATTTCAATTTTATAAAATAGACAAACTTCAAAAAATAAATGATGGCCGACGAATTGGGCAAGCGGTTTTACCTTTAAATATTTGTATCATGGGTGTATTTAACAAGGGGCCGTATGCATAAAACCTATGCAAATGCTTTTTCTTAAAATTTCAGACCTTTCCCAAAATTTTTTCAAATAAATTTAAGTGAAAGGTATGAAAATCTGAGAAAAAGTAATTGCTTAGTTTTTATACATACGGCCCAAGGTGTTATTGACAACTCAGTGCGGCTCTCTTTTAAGATACTATTATGTAGAAAAATATAAACAAACGATTCAAAATTCATACAAATTTTTTTCAATTTGACTTTATAGGATGGTTCTTCTGAGAGCATGGTCAAATTCAATCACGCTTTGTTAAATACATTTTGATCTCTACCAAATAATATACTTCCTCTGTACAAATTTTATGAAGTGTTCAAAAATTCGCTCCGAGCGCGTTCACTGTTGATCATTTGATTTAAATAGTTTGTCTAACAATTAATACTATAGTTTGATCGGAGTTGATATATTTTTTTAGTAATTAATTATATTATATTAAAACATAAGCTTATGAGAAATTATTTAGTCTTAACATGCATATTTTATATCGTGTTCCAAAATTCGCTCCGAGCGCGTTCACTATTGATCTTTTGATTCAAATATTATTTGTGAAGCATTCAGTAGTGAAGTTTGATCGCAGTTTATATATTATTCAGTAATTAATCATATTCACTATTGATCATTTGATTTAAATAATTGTTTCTCAAGCATTCAGTACTATAGTTTGATCGGAATTTATATATTCTTAAATAATTGATCACATTTTATTAAAATATAAACGTTTAATAGGGTAGAAATTATGAAATTATTTAGCTTTAGCATGTATAGTCGGCCAGAGACAATTGTAGAAAACTGCAACTACTCTTGAAAACTTACAATAAAAGCAATGTAGATGAAAGTAATAAATATTATTATTAAAATTAGATCCATGTATAAAACATTTTACATCATTTATTTGAAGTAAATCGGAATATATTTTTACATATAAGATAGTTTCCATTTAACTCATAAAGTACATATTTCACTAAAAATATTTTTAAGATCATTTCAAATTGCAAAAATAACGTTAATTAGTTGTATTGAAGTATAAAACATTTTATTACGTTCATGTTTACTTATAGAGCGCATAACAATATTTCTCTCGCCATTTATCCGATGTTAAAATTTTTCACCACATTATTTTGCTGCACAGCATCCTGAATGCGGCAAAACAGTTGCTCGCAACCCTCAAGTCCTTTATGGGGACCAAATTAACAGCCACAACAACAAAAACCTTTTCTACTGGTATACTGTGGTTCGCACTTCATGCAGTAAGCAGCTTATGCGCAAGTTATTTTTTTTGAGTACACACATACTGAGACAAAAATTTTGCGCTTGTATTGGAAGCTCTGCCAGCGCTGTGCACCACTGCTTTAAGCTGAAATTAGTCAAGAACGTAAACCTACCGATACGTAAACCCGAGTCAGCTGACACGATCTGTCTTACCAAAGCGCCATGTAAATGAAAACTCAACACCGCAGAATTTTTCTGTAGTTGTAGCCCGTAGCGCAGAAATCTGCGGAATTTAGATTCTTCCGTGTCAGCTGATTTCTCCTTCTTTAGATGGTTGCCGTATACAGACTGCGTTTAAGTATACGTTCTGCGTTCTCGACTAATTTCAGCTTTATTAAAATAGGTTTGTGTCAAAAAAGCTGTCTTTTTTCAAAAGGCTCGTTAGATAATAACTTTACTGTTAGGAGATGA